ATTTAAATGTATTTTTTATCGCTAGAAAAAATTCAAATTATAAAACAAAAGTGTCTTCAAATATAAATCCTAGGAACATGTATTTTACTGCTAGTATTTATTTATTTTCATTTTTTTTAGAAAAAGGAAGAATATAAAGTGAAACAATATTTTACTTTGCAATAAAAGTCAAATTGTTTTGGAGGATGAGATTACTTCATACTTTGATCCAAAAATTTGAAAAAACACATGCTGAGGAAATTATATTCTTATTTCACTTTTACTCCCGTTTCTCAGCCTGCCGACACAGTAAAAGACTAAAGACCCTTTAGCTACTAAGAAGGGATATTTTTTTTTTTTTACATGTGTTTAGATTAGATGTTAAGGGAGCAAAAATTAACTTTAATGCTAGAGAATCAACTACTGAATTAAATTCATCTACTACTCTCTTTTTCTAATTTTAGTAAAGTTATTTAAAAAAAAAATAAAAGTACAATAATTAATTGATAACATTTTATATTTATCTATAATTAATAACTATATTTAATTTATGTCATAATTAGTAAAATAGAAAAAGGTGCATTAAATAACATTTTTTTAAAAAAAATAGTGGATAAGTAAATTTAAACTCTCAAATTGAAAATTTTTTCTATTAAAATTGAACCCAAAAAAGTATGTGACGTTAAAATTGAAAATAGAATTATATTAAAAATAAAATTAATTTTTTGTAATTTTTATACAAATTAATAAAAATTATATTTTTATTTAAATTAATATAACAAAAAATAACACTTTCATATCACTTAATTTATCTCATTTACAAATGAGATCTCCTAGCTACTTTCACTTAAAAAGGATTACTCTGAGCTACTCAGCTTATTGTAGCAAAAATTATGTAATTATTAATTAATTTATGGGTGACATAGACCTTAGGAAACAAAAAATTATATGGAATAATTCCAATAAAATAATAATAATAATGAGAAAGATAAACAACCACACCATTGCTAACGTAAACTCGGCCTACGTCAAAGTTTTCTTCCTTATCCTAGGTTAGCCAGTGGAACACGAAAGGAATGTTCTAGTAACCTTCGCGAGGGTTCTCCATGTGGACACAACTAGAAGGTTTGAAGTTATACCCTAGCTCTCCTTTCCTCACCCCCTTCAATGTAAAATGTAATGGTAGTATCAGCGACCTGTTAATTGGTCCGACTAAAAAATGTTTGATTTTTTTTAAACAAAATTTTAAATTTGAGTTTTATGAATAAAGAAATAAAATATAATAGTAATAGGTAATTGCCTTTGTTAAGAAAAAAAAAAAAGGAAAAAAAAAGAGGAAAGGAAACCTTTGCGACGAAGACAATAAAATTCTCGCACTCCTCCTATAAAACCATTAAGCTCTCTCTCTATCCTCTAATTCCCCATTTCTCAACATCGAAGCATAAAGATCTCTCCCTTATAATCTCTCTCTTATAATCTCTCTCATAACGATGGCAGATGTCGGAACTAGTGCTCTTGAGGCCGTTAAAGGCGGTCCTCATGACTTCCGCTCACTTCTTTCTTCTTCAAAAAGGAATTTCCTAGTCCGCAACTCCGGCAATCAGGTAAAAATTTTATGCATTGTTCTCTTTCCCATAGATTCTTGTAGTTTTATTTCTTTGATTAAACTAGAAGTTGGGTTTTGATGTTTGATTATGATTCTTGTTCGGGTAAAAAGCTTGAATTGATTTTTGAAATTAATTTGTTCAAGTTTTGGAGATTGGAATGGAAAATATTGAAATTGTTTAGTTTATGAATCATAAATTTAGTGTTTAGGTAGCTTCACAAACTCTATTGTTGAGATCACGAGTGCTCTAACACCTGAAAAACCTGAGGATGTTTCCTTAAGAAAAATACTTCGATACTTAAGTTAACAATACTCTATAATCTAGACAAAGAAGCTCTTAAGAAGAGTAATTGCAAAGAAAGAAGCGTAAAGGACTTACCTTCAGTGGAGGTAGTTGGGGGTATTTATAGACCCCCTATCAATGATGGTTTCACCACCTATCGCTCCTCTGTTGTCACACCTGCTTGTAGTTACATCGGTGTGACATGACCAACGTACTTGCACGTTTGAGCCATGAATGGCCTCTTAGGCTTAGCTATTGGTGTTGGGCTTGCTCCCTAACATTACTTCCCCCTTAGCATTTGCTTCACGAACAATCATAGCAAACTATTTTAGCCCAACTTCAATCTTGATGGGCAGGAATCTATTGACGAGTTGACCAAAAAGGATTGGGGTCTGAGACTTCAATATGGGCTCTTGTGAGCTCATTCAATCTTGCCAATGTTGGTGAGTAGGAACTACTATATTTACGAGCTTATCCAAGGAGAAATCTTTGGGGGATATCTTGGATGGGATTTTGACGAGCTTATTCATTGAGGAATTTTGAAATTCAAAATCAAATAAAAAATTAGATCTTCTAGAGAAATTTGTCAGGGATATTTTTAGTGGGATTCTTATGAGTTTATCCATTGAGAAATTTTGAAATTCCAAATCAAATAAAAAATTAGAAGACAAAATGAAATAAAAAATTAGATCTTCTAACTCTTCCCCTCTTGCCCCCCATAATAAATGCTAGTAGCGCATTTAATTGACATGGCAGTTAAGACCATTTTTATGCTTCACACGAATGATGCACGGCCAGCACGTGTATAAGTATTGGTGGTTGGGACGGGGGCGTGGATACAATGCCTAAGATACATGTAATGTGGTGAAAAGAAATGGGGGGAACGGAGAAAGTTGTAAACACTTTACCATTTTCTCTTGCTTTTGTTTCCCATTTTTGCTCTTTTGCTCTTGCTTTTGTTGTTGTTGCTTTGCCCTTTCTATTGTTTTTGCAAAGGTTGCAAGTGTCAAGGCAAGGAAACTGCATCAGCTTTGATTATACAAGTAATTATGGATTTTTTTAGAGAATTACGAGAACTCCGAGGTAATTAGGGGGAGGAAGAAAGGGTGATGTCTGCCTCCCCTATTGCGATGATCGTGCCACTGACATTACAAGATAGGCTTGAGTTGAACAGACCGTTCACATTAGAGAGTAGTGCAAGTTCTTCAAGTGCTGGCTAGTCTTCTAACTCCATTTCCTTTAGTTCCGTGATAGATAGTGCTGAGCTAGTTTAGGAAAATGCAAGTGCGGACGAGGAAATGAGGATGGATATTTGTGTTAAGAGGGAAGATGGGGTGTGCCTGCATACAAGCTTGCAAAAGTGTTAACTAAGTATGGGCTAGTGTACCTAGCATGTGAATGTCATTAGCATTGAATTGACAGGTCGGATATTTCTTGACATAGTTTTGAGCGTCCTTGACCATTTGAGGCTAGTAATAGCCCTAGCTCAGTAGTTTTTGGATGAGTGTCCTTCCCTTAATGTGTGTGCCAGAAACCCTTTCGTAAACCTCTTTGATAGCATACTTTACTTCATAAGGAGTAAGGCATTTTAGTAGGGGCATTAATGTTGCTCGCTTGTACAACTAGCTCTTATGTAGGCAAAAACGAGTTGCCCTTCATCTTATTAGCCGAGATGTAGACTCATCATTAGGCACTTATTAGATTGCAGAAATTTGATGAGGGGCATAGTCTAGCTTGGAAAGGATAGACCTGTGTTCAACACTACATGATTAAAACCACCAAAATCAATATAGCGGGGGGTCTTAAGAATCTCAACATAAGTTGTCGCATACGAGGGTATCTTTTATGTAGAAGCCAACTTTGACAACTCGTTAGCTTGTCTATTATCATCCCTTGGGATTTTAGGGATCTAGAAAGATATAAAATTACCCCTTAGTTTAGGCACAATCGTGCTGTATCAAGTTAATGGAGGATCTCGAATGTCGTAGCTACCATTAACTTGATTAACAACAAGTTAAGAGTCATTGAAGACTTTTATAGCTTTTACCTTCAAATCTATAGCTAGCTTTAATCCAAAAATCAGAGCTTCATATTCAACGATATTATTGGTTATAGGAAATGTGAAACGAAGTGCGTGCTGACTTTTATAACCATCAGGTCCTATTAGAATAGCTCCAGCTCCTGAACCTTCCAAATTTGATGCTCCATCCACATAGAGAGCTCAAAGAGGACAAGAGGGAACTACTTCTCCAAGGGCAGTGGGTACACACTTGATCATGAAATCTGCTAAAGCATGGCCTTTGATCGTTGTTCAATGCTTAAACTCCATATCATACTTGCTGAGCTCACTGGCCTAACCCATTAAACAACCTGACAACTTTGGCTTTTGGAGCACTTTCCTCAATGATAAATTAGTGAAACGATGATTTGATGTGACTGAAAATAAGTTTTGAACTTTCTAGTAGCACATATAAGGGCAAACGTTACCTTCTCAACAAGTGGGTATCTTCGCTCAACTCCTTGTAGAACCTTGCTTGTGTACTAGATAGGTTTTTATTATTTGTCTTCTTCTCTTACTAGGACTGAGCTCACAGCATCCTTTATAACTCCCAAGTACATATATAAAGTCTCTTCATCTATTGGTTTGGCAAGCAACGATGGTCTGGTTAAATAACGCTTAAGCTCATTCAATGCCAACTGGCACTCTTTTGTCCACTGAAAGTCCTTTGGATTTATAAGGACCTTAAAGAACAAAAGATATTTCTCTGTCGATCTGGTGATAAATCTATGTAGAGCTACAAGCCTGCTCATTAAATGCTGCATGTCTTTTACTATTTTGGGGAGTTCCATTCACTGAATGGTTTGCACCTTGTTTGAGTTCACCTCAATTCCCTTTTTAAAAACCACATAACCTAGGAACTTGCTAGATTCTATGCCAAAGGTACATTTAAGAGGATTTAACTTCATCTATGCTTGACAAAGATTTTGAAAGGTTTCATCAAGGTCTATTAAGTAATCTTCAACTTGGAGGTTAGCAGCAATTATGTTGTGTATGTACACCTTTATATTCCTTTTGATTTGGAGCTTGAAAATGAACTAAACAAGCTTTTGCCCAAGAGGTATCATTACGTAATAGTAAATCACATCCCTAGCATAAAATGCCATTTTTTTCCTAGTTGTCAAAGAAGAGTTGGGCTTGATGG